TGAGAAAAGGAAAAGAAAAAGACAAAATGCATCCAGCGAATTCCTAACAGAGAGAGGGTTTGTGTGTGATAAACGCGTATTGAATCGCCTCGGGTATGTTTATGACTAATAGTCCAGTCTCATACAGACTTCTCAGAACAGAGGCAGTCTTCTTTCTCTTCTCCAAAATTCTCCCGCAAATCTCTCGACTCACTGCGACGATAGCCTCGTGACTCTCTCGACTACAGTCCCTTTCCCCGACTCTGCTTTATTAGCAAAATCTCGAGTTAATATAGAAAAATGATCAGCTGATCACAATTGACTCTCTGCCCGGCACGCAGCTACCACGTGTTCCAAAAACTCTCCCTTGACATATAAACCGATTCTCCAATTATTTACCTTTTCTCAATCACGAGTTCTCGCTTCACCAAAATTATACTTTGGGATATCTAAACATTGATTCAACCGTTTAATCAAAACAAATACTGTTAAACAAAACCAAGTATCTCGCCCATCCCCATTGTTTACTAGTGACCCAGGTTTAAAACATCGCCTCCTGCCCTGAGATCGTGTTTCTCATCGGTAAACACACATCTTAACCCAAATTGTACTTTGATATATAAACACCGTTTCCATTTCCAGTCAATAAAAGTTATATTTGCGTGTGTGCGTTCTTGTGGGTGTGTCTGTGTATACTTCTCTCTGTTACACTTTCCATCACCTCTCAAAATACTTCCCAGGTATTTAAATTGTTCTACTTGCTTCATTTTAGTATCTGCAATGTGTAAGTTGTGTATTGGGATTTTCTTTTGACAGACAAACATGTATTCTATCCTCTTCCAAATCTTGTTTAGTCCTTTCTTCTCGCTTTCCTTCATAAACCATAAGCAAAAGTGGAGATTTAATAATATACCAATTCTGAATTAGACTGGAAATTGAACGACACTAGTGCCGTTTTCTTTAAAGAAACTGGAAAAAAGAATTCGATATTTATCCTTAGAATGATAACAGAAAGAGCAATACATTTACAAAAGGATGTGTACCTATGTTTTATAGATTATGCAAAAAGTATTTGATACACTACATCAATATTAAGTTAGAATTACTAGACAAGCTTGTTTTATTTGGGAAAAACCGAGAACTTATTCTGGGAGAAAACCTGCTGCATACGGATAAAAAATGAATTCATTAAATATATAAAAATAGAAAGAGATGTAAGACAAGGATCCACCTTCTCACTAAACTTATTCAACCATTAGAGTGAGGTGATCATATGAAAATTAGAAGTCCAACCAGAATATTTTTATAGGTGAAGAGCATCTTAACAATATAAGATATGCAAATGATGCAGTATTGATATCAGGCACAGGAATAGAACAACAGGAACTCCTAGAGAATGTGGTAAGGAGTCAGAAGGTAGAGTTGTTAGCAAGAAGAAGAGCCCAACATGCGAATTAAAAACTGGTGGTACTAAAATCAAGCAGTTTAAAGAATTTAATATCTAGTATGCGTTTCAATAGAGAGCGGAAAATGCGGCACCGAAGTGTAAAGCAGCATTGAATTAACGAATGATAACTTCCAAAAGCAAAGCAAAGTATTAAGAAACAGGAAAATTTAGTTAGAAACAAAGGAAAGAGTATTCAAATTATTGTAACCCAGGAAGGATTACTGAATGACGAATAACCAAAACGGAGGTTGAAAATGAAATTGTAATCTTTATAACATCAACAAAATACAATGCTCGCCAGCGGCGTGAAGTAGGTAAATCACTGATAATGGGTGACTACTTACACAGCATATTACCCCCACTTACAATAATGTCCAACGTATTTATGAGGATTGGGACATACACTTTAGTACAGTATATAACACAAATACGTAGTATCGTTCGTCGTGTATGGTAATGAATGCTGAATATTGTTCTCACAGATGAAAAAGAAACTTGAGGCAAAAGAAATCTGGTTCTACATGCGAATGCTAAGGATATCATGGACGAAACAAAGAAATTAGAGAAAACGGAAACTAAAAGGATATATTTCGTGTCACCAAGAGACAGCTGAAATTTCTAGGGAACAAATGAGGAAAGAGGGCTTGGAAAAGTCTCCTGTTGACTTGAAATCCGTTCATCTTTTGCCCTTTACTCAATCCTCCTTGTTCTTTCACTTTCACTCCCTGTAAGCCCTTGCGTACTAGAGCCACTACCTCCTTGCTTGGGATGACATGATTAAAATAAAAACAAATAATAATTAATTCGATAAAATTATTCCATTTCATGCATGTGGAAAAAGTGTCTCCAAGAAGATGCAATGGGTTGCTTTCTGGAGTTTAGCATCAGCCATGATTATGGAAAGCAATAAAAGGTCCTCTTTGTGGATTAAATAATCGCGTGCATCACAGTTTTATTAGACATGATGAAATATCACTTTGTCTTTGGCACCATTTTTGCACCCACTACTTTGTGATCTATTTCGTTAAGTATACATTCAGCGTATAAACAATTAAAGTACACGAATTACCCGTTGCTTCCTTTACAAATTCCTTCAAAGCAAGAGTGATTCTCATCATACTGATTTCAGTGCATATCGCTTAGAGCCTGATGAGTCATTTATTGATTCTAAATCATTAGAGACGTTTTAGCCTGAAATTTATGCCATTAAAATGAAACATCAGCTGTTTCGGCAATAAATTCCTTTTGACATCTCTAATAAAAAGGGAAATTTAAACAGACAATTGATATTTACTTGCATGACTGTTTATTTGTGGAATATTTATTGAAGCTTTCCAGTCATGAAGTTGTTATCTACTAGGCTTAGCTAAATTTTGACGCAAGTCTACAAGTAGGGGATACTCACTGAAGATCGATATCACTAATCTATAGCAACGATAAACCACACTAGCTCACTGACCATTACCCCACACTGGGACGATCTGGCCATTGTTATTTACTATTTAGTCTGGAACAAGGCCAAAATCAGTGCGATTTGAACACAATACTCAGTAGTAATCGTCAACCAGGCTAGCTTGTTAACCATTACTGTGGGGGTGTTTTTGAGACTTGGTGTTGTTATTCACTAGGGTTACTTTAGTTGGGCACAAGGCCACAAGCAAGGGGCAGTAGATGAGCATCGAACTCACTAAGTAGTAGTAATTACCCCACAGCAACGGGCTTTTGAGACTGGGAGTCACCATCTAGAATCGTAATGGCGAACACGAATGACTCGTTAACCATTACCATTGGAATTCATTTACCCGGCTAAGGTTAATGTGTCATATCTATATATGTCTGTGGCACCCAGTGAGGATCAATCTCCCTCTTTTATCGTAATGGTCAACCTTAATAACTACATTACCTATTATCATTCACCGTGGTAACCATGAGATTGTGAGTTGTTATTTTCTAAGTTAGTTTGGCACAAGGCCATATTATGGGGTATGCAAGAAGGACCAAACATTCATAATGAGCGTTTAATATGCACAGACATTGGTTTCTGCTTTATACTGATTGTTACGTTTGTGAGTTTTTTGTTCAACTACTCAGTATGTAGCCTACAAGTTAGTCTTGAAGATGTTTTGAGGTCGAAGCTTACTCAGCGCCCACCACTGTCATTTTACGTTAGACATACGGAAATTGTGTTAATTATATCTGTAAAGATGTATATCAATCTGTATCTACATAGACTTTGATTGCCAATTTTTGGTAGAAGAAAACCTTCATTTGTGCTTGTAATTGGAAGAAGTGAAAATTATTCACGGGATATGCGAATATTTGAGTCCCCCCCCCAAAAAAAATGGATAATAGCATTGAAAACACCGAACTTTCATTATTCATTTTGGGAATTAAAGTGTTCTAGTAAAGCACATGGAATGATGTAAATTAAAAAAATAAATAAAAAATATTATATTAAAAAAAATAGTAAAGCTATTTAATCTTAGAAATTACTTCTTCATTTCGTAATTATGAGCAAAATCCTTCAGGAACTGAATAGGATATAATGATTAAACTTCCATTATGATCTGTCTATATTTCTGAGATGTGGCATTATGTACACTATTTACATTATTCGGACTATTGTCCTCATCTTTGTCGCCATATTTATTACGTTTCAGCCGTTGTATGCTTTGGCCTTCTTCAGGTGGTTGGAATGTCGAACTGAACCCTTTATTTTGCTCGCTGGGGTAGACTGTTCTAGTTCCATGTGACATGTTTAATGGATGCCAGTTGTCAGTTATCTCCTGTTAATTCCCCTCTCCGTGTTCTCCAATGCTTTAACCGGGTATTGAACTCACACCCTTTGGGTCCTGTCACTGGATCTAACTAACGCCTTTATCCACTGTGCCGTGTGTCCTTGTTTTTTTGAATAGGTTTATCAGTATCTCTCTATTTTGTCTTAGCTTTTGGTAGGGGGGGTGTATATCCAGCTATCAAGTAAAATAAAAAAAGGTATCCATCGTGTATTACTTTTTTTCACGTTTTGATAAAGTATCTGCTTCCGTTTGAAATAAAAAGGCGTTGATGACTGAAAAATATGAAGCGGCAGTGAAGGAAATATAAAAAAATAAATAAATGTAAAAATACATCCAACTGCTCTTTTTCTTAAAATAAAAATACCTCCAACTGCTCTTTTTCTTAAATATAAAAATACATCCAACTGCCCTTTTTCTTAAATATAGAAATACCTCCAACTGCTCTTTTTCTAAAATTGGACTATTCGAGCATATAACAATGAAGTACTAATTTGACTAGTAAATGAGAGATAGATAGAAAGATAGATATATATATAGAAAGAGGAAATTTGATTATAACGTAATAATTTAACGCTTAATCGTCCCTTTGCCCAAATATTTCTATGTCGAATCGGCTAAGCCGAATCAGCCACACTCAATGGCTTATGCAGGAACGTCCAATTCCCTACGTATATGCCCTGAAATTTGCCAATATCCGTTGTTTACTGTAAGTCTTATTGCGAAAATATTGACTTGTATATGTAAAATTTGACATTGAAACCGATTAATGTTTTTCATTAATGCATACTTTTAAAAAGGCGCTGATTTTTTATAAACTTTGCTAAGAGATTTATGGTTTTCGAATAATCATAGCGACTGGAAAGAAAGCCCTGGTCCCTTCTGAAAAAGAAAGCCCCGGTCCCTTCTGAAAAAGAAAGTTCCGGTTCCTTCTGGAAGAGAAAGCCCCGGTTCCTTCTGAAAAAGAAAACCCCGGTTCCTTCTGAAAAAGAAAACCCCGGTTCCTTCTGAAAAAGAAAGCCCCGGTCTCTTCTGATTTTATCAAAATAATATTTCCTCTGATTATCGATAGCATAACTCTATCATTTTGGCAAATAGTTTACCTGTCGGTCGAAAAACACGTCATATCAGTTTTAAGCTTTTCAAAATAATTAGCTATTTTTCCTTTAAAAGATGTGGCAATGATTTGAAAGAATAATAGTCAATATAATGAAAGGATAGTAAGGATCACGTGTAAGGAGGATTAGAAAAAAACATATTTAGTGCTATGATATTTTCCTGAATGAATCGAGTAATATGTGGTTTTACATTATGGTGGAAGAAAAATATACCTTTGCGATTAACGAATATTGAATGTATTTCGTCGACATATTGGTTGAAGTCTTTCAAATTGACAATATTTTCTGCATTAACTGTTTCCTTTTGGCTTTAGCACTTTCGGGTTGACGACATCATTCTCATACCAAAATACGAAGAACAAGCCCTGGTTCTCTTTAAACTCTACAACAAATGACTTGCTGCTTCTTTCTTTCAAGCTTTTTGAAAATCCTCTTTAGAAGTTTCTTTTTTTAAGAACTCGAGTGAACCGTTTGATAGTCTTCGAACTATCGACGATTAGTATTTTACCTTATTTGACAAAGTCCTCTGTTTGGCTTTAGTTTGCTCCAAATTCGTAAGCTCATCTTTCACAAAAACAATATGGCTTTCAATTCCCTAGGTCAACTGTTAATATGTGAACGGTTATTACTGAAAGACACTGTCAAGCTTTAGATAATCTAGATGGGGCATCTCAAAGGCTTTTAACAAGGTTTACAGAAGCTGAAGAACTATGGTATCTCCAGTCGAATTTCATCCAACATTTCTTAAAGAATCGCATAATGGTCTTGAACGGCCACTCTTCTATATCTTTTTGCATTACTGCCGGTGTTCCCAAAGGCATTATAACTTACTTTATTTCTTATCTTCAACAATGACATTCCCGATATCATCAGCTCCCGTTTCGGTATCTACGCTGATGCTTACTTTGAGTAAATACGATAGGCTAGACAGTCAGCTGATCATGAAACCGATTTCCAGCCGGAGCGACAAATGGGTTATTAATTTTAATGCCTCCAAAACGAAACAAACTGTCTTTTAGGCGTCTTAGCGAAACAATTTTCCTCTATCAGCCATGGTGAAGGAAGACAACCTCAAATAGAACAATTCATTGCACCTTCTCCGTTTCGTGTTTTCAGCAGACATTAACTGGTAAGACTGTATTGAATGAATTATGTCTGCTATTAGGAAAGTTAGCTCGCGGTCTCGTGTCAGACAATTTTTCTTACTATAATATGTTTTGCACGTTTATAAGTATATAATTTGTCACTGCATTGAATATTGTTTCCACAACTGGTATGGGCTCCTGTTATATATCTCGAGATTCTTGACTAAATCCAAAGAATAATTTTTCTGCAATGTTATTGATCCTGAGCTGACATCTTGGTTTCAGTCACTTACTAACTACCGTAATGTTGCTCTTCTTTATCTTTTCTATAAATATTTTCATGGCCATTGCTTTGATGAGATTTCCACTTTGGTGACATGACTTTAGCGTGGTACTGGATTGGGACATAAGTCTCTTAATTTTAATGTTGAAATAGCCAGGGGTAACTGTAAATTCTATTTTAATGGTTTCCTCTATATCACTACTTGACTGCAACCTCAATTGCCATTTTTAGTCGTTTCGTATCCTGTTCTCTTATCATGCTCAATAATGTTTCCTCATTTTCTTTCTCTGCCAGTAAACACTTTTGCTTTAGTCACTTTATCGATTTTCTTGGAGTGAAGTGATTAAAATACTTTAAAGCATCAGCGTATATTTAGGCTTTTCATAAAAAGGAATAAGAATTCGAATGGTACCCTCTTAGTCAAAAGAAAAAGCAGTTGAGACTAATTTGCTGCTTTCATCAAGCGTCATCTAAATTGTTGTAGCATACCTACGGACGACAATGTGTATGTTCCCATTCACATAAATACAGTAGTAAATACTGTACGTTGATCTGCAGTTGGTGATTCTTCTCCAGATGTGCCGTTCAAACTGTCTGCCTCCGGACAGAGAGGATACCCAGACGAGGTTATGTCGAAGGGCAGAGTCTCGTCTCGGGGAACAGCTACTCGACCCCGTTTTATACGAGTAATTTTTGACGGATACCCCACACTCAACTCGGCCTTGTGTCACATCTGACCACGTGTGGCGCTTGGTAGATATGGTGTTGGGGATTCATTGTGGAATTCACTTGACTCACTTCTAGCAGCTGACTACTGGTGAATCTTATATGTGTTGTTCTTGTCCTATTTATTATCGTTCATTATCAAACTTCGTGTGATTATCCTATTCAATAACCTTCTCTAGGTTACAACACAAATTTAGTCATCTGTCTATTGTTACTAATGCAATAATAATAATAATGATGATAGGCCATAGTCTTTAGATGGGTGATTTTTGTAATATTTTGTAATGTTGTTCCCCTAATACAAAACACAAGCGCCACTCGAAGTAGAGGGTTACAGAATGATATTATTGAAAGTAGGAAACGGTTGAGGAGATGGTTGATAAGACATAAGAGATTTTCAAATATGGATGTCACATATGTTGCTTGAATATCAGAAACGACGTCGTTTTGAGATCTGTTAAAAAAGACTTATTTCTGAAAAGTATCGTTTCATTATGGAAATATATATTTTAATGTATTTAAATGTTGTTCACACAAAACAAGACTCAAGAGGCGCTTAAAAAATGAATTGAACGAGGTTATTCAAAGTAGGTAACGGTTGACCCGATGGCCGAAGAAATTAAGACGTATGATAAAACATGAGAAAATGTGAAAAATGGATTTCACATATATTGCTGGAAAATCAGAAACGATGTCGTTTTGAGGTCTGCTTATCACTGTTTACTTGGAAAAAAACGGCTTATTTCGGAAAAGTAAATTTTTTCCAATGTACGCCAAATACCAGGCCCAACAGCCACACAAGGTAGATGGCTACCAAATGTGCGTAAAAAGAGGAATTAAAAATGCAGTTATATAGAAAAGATAACGGATAACACTATACGAGAGTAAACAATGAAAACCACCGTGACATGTTGTAACGTTTGCGGGACACTATTCGTCGAAATAGACCAGAATCGCATGCGTTCTATCAGTGTCAACTCCACTATGACAACGTACTTGCCCATTCAACGTGTCTTGAGCAGCAGTTTTTGGCCAAGGGCAGCACATTCTCCAGATCAGACAACCACCATATTCCTCAGATCTCGCTTCTTGCGACTTTGTCCTTTTTACATAAATCAAATTCCACTTGAAAGGAACAAGATTTGAAGACGTTGAGCAAATTCAAGACAATGCGATGAGGCAACAGCCTCACTAACCCCCAAAAACAGTTTCAGGAATGTTTCCATCAATGTAAAAGATGCTGGATAAAGTGTGTGGATTCAGATGGTAACTAAATTCGAAAGAGATTAAATGCCGAAAAGATATTTGTTGAGGTTTTCTTTTTGTAGCAGCAATTCCGATCCTTTTTAATCACATCCCGTATTTGAAGAGGTGAAGACTGTAGTAATCGTTGAAGCATACACTATGGAGTCTCTTCCATAAAGAAACGGTTCTTTGATAAATAGAACACGAAAGGAACTTCTTGCTTCAGTCAGTTCAGTGCTACACGCGTAGGCGATCATGTATCTTTCGATAGATGACTGACGAGGCAGATTCTTCTCGCAGTAAGTTACCATTTCTTTCTGCGGTAGACCAGTTGCCATCCAAGGTTATAGAACCCAGTTTCTCCTGCTATTTACCCATTGCTGGGAGTTAAAGAAGAGGATCCAGACCTTTCCAAAGGGTATTAGCACGTAAGTGAATGTAATCGATTCGACTGGAATTCGAACTCGGCTCTCTGATTCCTCAATCCGGGCCGCTCCACCGTGCCTCCTCTGTTTTTCTTGTTTACCAATGCAGTAAGAAGGTGATGAGAAAGTTTCGTTACATAGCATCACAGTTCTTATCTGTAAAGGTTTGAGCATGTGAAACTAAGGAATGTATCTCGTCAGAACATTTGCCTTGGAATAGTAAAAATTAGCGAGATGTTAGACTGTGGTTTCGACTGTGGGAAAGAGGTGGTAGGGTGGAAATATTTAATTAAAAACCTGTTGGAGTAAACATTGGTAACAATAAAATACTTTTCATACACTGTTATATGTTTAATTTTTTAAATGCTATGTTCTTTCAGGGCGTAGATGATCATATCTCTCCACAAATCCCGCTTCTTTAATATATGAGAATTACAGTGAGTTCTTGGGAAAGATAGTTGAGTGGTTTCCTGTTGCTCTCCGTTTTGAGTGGTTTCCTGTTTCCCTCCGTTTTTAAATTCAGAAATGATTACCCCTTAAGACAGGAGCATCTGCACTGCTTTTTAGCTCATCGGCGTGGAAAATGGATTCAGCATGACGAGTCAAATTATGGCAGGGTCTTTTCTGTTTACTTGGCACTATTACCCTTGGAAAAGGGCTGAATACATATTTTTTCCTGCTCTGACTGGAATCTCTTGTCTTGCACAGGAGAAGCTATGGAAAAAACTAAATTAAAAATTCGTAAATAAGGAGACAGATCACTTTAGCTTTGCTAGGGCAAACAGAAAGTAAAATCTGAAGACATAACTAGCTAGAACTAGTGGAATCCGTTCCGTCAAACTATACTGCCCTAGCCACAGACACTCTTGCTACGGCTGCACTACATGTGGTACCCTAGCGATCTTAATTTTAAGTTTTTCCACAATGAAACCATGAACAATTCAATCTAGATTATTTTAAATAAATATATTTACTTACTATTTTCCAAATAAATTAATTTAAGGTAAAAAATATAAAAGTAAAAGTTATGATGAAATATCATTATTCTGCCGATTTTATTTTGAAGATATTTTTTATAAAAGAGATATTGTTCCACTGAAATATTTCGCAATATGGTATCATCACAAGTAAACTAGAAATTAGATCACAG